TTTTAGATACTTTCATTTTTGGATCATTTTAAACTTGTGCCCAACTATGTCATGTAAGGAATGACATAATTCCAGAGTAAAGGATTTCTGTGCCATTCCTACCTCAACTCACTCTTCACTTTTGAGCACTTCAGTCTGTCGTGCCTTCATCCATGTAAATAAACTTCCTTATACCCATTAATTAACTTGTTACCCTCTTCATAGAATTTCCTGCCATTTTCTTACCTTTAATGAGAAATACAAAGTGCATCCTACATGCAGAGTCTAGCCACAACAGCTAAAACCTTCCACAACAGCTAAAAACTTACAGATTTTACATAGAAAAGTAGATTTCTTCTTTCAAAACTGATAAATATGATATTGTGGTCCTCTTTTTTCCATCCGGCATCATTTATTCACAGCAAAGTAGTAGCAGACTGCTTTAAGTGGGTTGCAAACAGTAATTTGCCACAGTTCCCACCCAGCCCAGGTCATTAATTTCCCATCAAACTGCATGGGTATTTGAGAGGCCAGTGATTTCTGTGAAGCTTGTTGATCCCTTCAAACAGACTTTTTCAAACTTTTTTTGGCCAGTGACTGCAGTAAGAAATGCATCATTTTCTATAACTTAGTGCATGCACACATATGTATAAATTTATGTAAATAAGCGAAAATTTCACAAAATATTATTTAACTTTACTATATGCAGTGATGTCAATATTTTCTGTTCTAGTTCCTTAAGTAATTCTGTGGTTACAAACCAGTGAATTAATTTTACAGACTCTTAAGGTATTTTAACTTGCACTTTATAAAAAACTAGAGGCCCAGTGCACGAATTTTGTGCAGGGGGTGGGGGGTGTCCCTCAGCCCAGCCTGCGCCCTCTCCAATCTGGGACCCCTTGGGAGATGTCCGACTGCCGGTTTAGGCCCGATCCCTGTGGGAGCCTGCAGTCAGACATCCCTCTCACAATCCTGGACTGCTGGCTCCCAACCGCTCACCTGCCTGCCTTCCTGATTGCCCCTAACTGCTTCTGCCTGCCAGCCTGATCACCCCCTAACCCAAGGGTGGGCAAACTTTTTGACTCAAGGGCCACAATGGGTTCTTAAACTGGACCGGAGGGCCGGAACAAAAGCATGGATGGAGTGTTTGTGTGAACTAATAGAAATTCAAAGTAAACATCATTACATAAAAGGGTACGGTCTTTTTCTTTTTTAGTTTTATTCATTTCAAACGGGCCGGATCCAGCCCGCAGGCCGTAGTTTGCCCACGGCTGCCCTAACCACTCCCTTGCCAGCCTGATCGATGCCTAACTGCTCCCCTGCCAGCCTGGTTGCCCCCAATTGCCCTCCCTTGCCAGCCCAGTCGCCCCTAACTGCCCTCCCCTGCCAGCCTGGTCGCCCCCAATTGCCCTCCCCTGCTGGACTGGCCTGGATGCCCCTAACTGCCCTCCCCTGCAGGCCTGGTTGCCCCTAACTGCCCTCCCCTGCCAGCCTGGTCACCCCAACTGCCCTCCCCTGCCAGCCTGGTCGCCCCCAATTGCCTTCCCCTGTTGGCCTGGTCGCCCCTAACTTCCCTCCCCTGCTGGCCTGATCGCCCACAACTGCCCTCCCCTGCTGGCCATCTTGTGGCCATCTTGTGACCACATGGGGGTGGCCATCTTGTGCAAGGGCGTGATGGTCAATTTGCATATTAGCCTTTTATTCTATAGGATTACCCTAGCACAGCATTCCCTTACAGCCTCACCCTCCACAACCCTACCCTTGGATGTTATCTGGTTCTCCACTGCTTCTTCCAAATTGTTGTCTTTCTGTCCTTTGAAGGTATCTTATTCTGTCCTTTGGAGAATCACCTCTACCCTTCTTCATAACAGTCATCTACGTATCTTGAGATAATTCCCCCACAGTAAGAGTTTCTGTAGTCAAACTACTACCATCCCAAACAGGCAGGCTAGTCCCTTTAAATTTGATGGCCAGTAATTTCCATAACTAAACACTGAACCTTTTCATTGCTTGGAACTGAAGAGCCCCTGAAGTTTTAAACCACAGTCTTTGTCCTTTTAGTTCTTTCTTTTCTATACTTTTAATTCCTTTTATAGATTACTGAGTCCTCTGTTTTCCAGCACTTTTCTTTCAAGTGTTTCTCTCTCTTCTTGTTTCATTTTCCAGTCTTTTCCATTCTAGGTCCTATAGTAAATGATTTTAATAATTCTTTTTAAAAAATATATTTTTATTGATGTCAGAGAGGAAGGGAGAGGGAAAGAGAGATAGAAACATCAGTGATGAGAGAGAATCGTTGATTGGCTGCCTCTTGCATGCCCCCCACTGGGGATCGAGCCCGCAACCTGGGCATATGCCCTGACCAGGAATTGAACTTGTGACCACTTGGTTCCTGGGTCGACGCTCAACCGCTGAGCCACACCTGGCTGGGCTGATTTTAATAATTCTCGACTGTACATTCACTTTATACCTGCCCCTAGGCTTTCTCCCATAATGCATTTGCTAATCCATGACCTGGGTTACTCCAGCTGTCTATTTTATCTACATGTGAATCAGGGTTGTAGAAAGCCAGTGAAGGCAATCTCACTCCCATAGAGATTGTTACAACTACAGATTTAAAGTCTCAGCCCTCACTTAGGCCCTCACCTCTATTTGGGAGTAATGTAGTGTTTCTGATCAGGTTGATCACCTTATATTACCTATAACAGTTATTCCAGATTTTCACCATTCTCCCTAATTTCTTACCCATTTTGTGAGCTCTTCATAGATGAATTAGAAGCTGTCACAAGTAAATTCTTATCTTTATAACCCCCACACAATCATTTCTACTTTCAAACCATCACAGTTACCCTTCCTCTAACTTCTGAGGATAAGATATGTCTTTTCTAGTATCTAAGGCTAATCTTTAGAACTCTTCTAGAACCAATCCCATTTCTTCTAGCATAGTCTTCCATCAATTTTTACATTACTTTTCTATATTATCAACCTTTCCCAATTAAACTCTCCCTGGCTTATCCTTAGCTTATAAAACATGCTGAAATGCAGTCTATTTTTAAATTTTAAAAAATACGTTTATTTGGTGAAAATTAGATCTATCTATAACCCTCACTCCATATCACTTTACAACCAAGCTTAAAAGAATGGTCTTTAGCCCTGGCTGGTGTGGCTCAGTTGATTGAACATTGCCCCATGCACCAATAAGTTGCAGGTTTGATTCCCTATCAGAGCACATGCCTGGGTTAGGCAGCTGATCAGTGTTGCTCTCTCCCTCTCCCTTCCTCTCTCTCTAAAATCAATAAAAACATTTTTTTTAAAAAAAGAAAAGAATAGTCTTTAATAACCATCTGCTTCCTTTTCTGTTATTCCTTGTTTAGGATTATTCTCAAGTATCACCTCCTCCATATTTAACCCTCCTCTACCACACCCTCAATACACACATATCTGTATCACATTGTAATTTTGTTAGACTTTGGGTTCTTTGGTAAAAATTTTATCTAATTTATCTTTGAATCCCAAACACCTGGTAATGTACCATCAAGCACATAGTAGGAAATGTATAAATAATGAATGAGAGAAGTTGCAAGACTAGGCATATGAAAAAAGAGGGATCCCTAACCGGTTTGGCTCAGTGGATAGAGCGTCAGCCTGCGGACTGAAGGGTTCGATTCCAGTCAAGGGCATGTACCTTGGTTGCGGGCACATCCCCAGTAGGGGGTGTGCAGGAGGCAGCTGATCGATGTTTCTCTCTCATCGATGTTCCTAACTCTCTATCCCTCTCCCTTCCTTTCTATAAAATATCAATAAAAGATATTTTCTTTTTTTAAAATATATCTTTATTGATTTCAGAGAGGAAGTGAGAGAGAAAGAGAGATAGAAACATCCATGATGAGAGAGAAACATTGATTGGCTGCCTCCTGCACGTCCCCCACTGGGGATAAAGCCCACAACCAAGGCATGTGCCCTTGGCTGGAATCAAACCTGGGACCCTTCAGTCTGCAGGCTGACGCTCTATCCACTGAGCCAAACCAGCTAGGGCAATAAAAAATATTTTTAAAAAAAGAAAAAGAAAGAAAGGGAGCATTTTGAGATGTTGCTTCTTGGCATGTCACCAGTTTGGTTTAAATAAACTCAAATAATTAAATATTTTTTAAAAAGAAAAGTAAGCCCTAACCGGTTTGGCTCAGTAGATAGAGCATCGGCCTGCAAACTAAAAGGTCCCAGGTTCGATTCCTGTCAAGGGCATGTTGCAGGCTCATCCCCAATAGGAGGTGTGCAGAAGGTAGCTGATCGATGCTTCTCTCTCATTGATGTTTCTAACTTTTTATCCCTCTCCCTTCCTCTCTGTAAAAAAATTAATAAAATATATTTTTTTAAAAAGAAAAGTAAGATATATTGAACACATTTTAGCAGATTTTCAGTAGTAGGAAATTATTTTGACATTTTTATAAGGGTGATGAACTATTCAGAGGTGATATTTTCTTCTGAAATACATTTCAGAAATTTATCTTTTTATTATAAACTAGAAGCCCTATGCATGAAATTCATGCAAGGGGCTCAGCCCTTGCAGCCCTAGCTGCCTTGGCCGGCCCTCACAGCCCCCGGCTTCGTCCAGAAGATCCTCTGGAATGTCCAGATGGTCATTCTGCTGTTTGGTCTAATTAGCATATTAGCTCTTTATTATATAGGATACATTATTTTAAATTCTATTTATAGCTTTTTTATTAAGATTTTCTTTAATCATTTTTTTCTTTCTTAAATTTTGTTGATTTTTAGAGAAAGGAAGGTTGAGAAAGAGAGAAACATTGATGTGAGAGAGAAACATTAATTGGTTGCCTCCTGCATGTGCCTTGACCAGGGATTGAACCTGCCATCTTTTGGTGCGATGCTCCAACCGGTTGAGCCACACCAGCCAAGGCTATATTTATAGCTCTTGATATCAAAGATACAAAACAAGAAAATTGGTACTTTCATTCCTATTATAATTTTAAATAGATTAACTCATTTTTTATGTATACCTATAACAGAATCATTTAGTGCACCCACATTTTCATATGGACCTGATGGAAATGGTTTCTCTCTTGGATACAGTAAAAATTGGAGACAAGTCTTTGGCGATGAAAAGAAATACTGGCTACTTCCAATATTTTCAAGGTAATTTATAAAATGCACGTCTCAGAAATTATGAAAATTACAGTTAAATGTCTTAAGGTTCAGAGACTACAATATATAATTCTTAGCCTTAAGAATGAAAACCCAGAATAACTTGATTCTATAAAGTATTTTCTTTATTTATTTATTTTTATTAGAGAGGGTAAAGGAGAGTTTGGGCATATATTTGAATGGAATATTGAAAAAGATGATTCATAAAAAATAAGAATTACTACCTATTTCCTTCAAAATGAAAATACGTTGAATAGAGAAAGCATATAAATAATGAATGAGCGAAGTTGCAAGAGTAAGAATATTCAAAAAGAGGAAGCATTTTGAGATCTTGCTTCCTGGCATGTCACCAGTTTGGTTTAAATAAACTCTTATTAAATAACTAAACAAATAAGTAAATAAATATTTTTTAAAAGTAAGGTATATTAAACACATTTTAGTAGATTTTCAGTAATATTAGATAATTATTTTGACATTTTTATAAGGGTGATGAAATATTCAGAGGTGGTATTTTTAGCCATATCTTCAAAAATTCTATCACAGATTATATATTCTGTTTTATCTTAAATCATAGAAGATCTAACACATAATGTAATTTTTACTCAAATATAAATGGGAATACATGTTTGAGATGTTATATAGTTTCCTTTTCTTCCAAATTCATAGCCATCTTGGCTATCTATATACAAAAGTCATTATAGAAGAGGAAAAAATATTTGATATTCAAGTGATATTTTTGTGAGTATTGTAGGTTTTTATTTTCCTTAACTGTATTGCCTATTTTTGAATGAAAATGACTTATTTTGCCTTCGTTTTTGAAAAACATTTTTGCTTGGCATAGAATTCTAAATTTTGCTTCATTGTCTTCTGGCTTGTGGTTTTTCTGATGAGAAATTTGCAGTCACTATTCTTTTTTTTTTTTTTTAATTAAATCTTTATTGTTCAGATTATTACAGTTGTTCCTCTTTTTTTCCCCCCCATAGCTCCCCTCCACCCGGTTCCCTCCCCCCTGCTCCGCCCTACCACCCTCCCCCACTGTCCTCATCCATAGGTGCATGATTTTTGTCCAGTCTCTTCCCGCATCCCCCACACCCCTTTCCCCCCCAAGAATAGCCAGTCCACTCCCTTTCTATGCCCCTGATTCTATTATAATCACCAGTTCATTCTGTTCATCAGATTATTTATTCACTTGATTTTTAGATTTACTTGTTGATAGATGTGTATTTGTTGTTCATAGTTTGTATCCTTACCTTTTTCTTCTTTTTCCTCTTCTTAAAGAATACCTTTCAGCATTTCATCTAATACTGGTTTGGTGGTGGTGAACTCCTTTAGCTTTTTCTTATCTGTGAAGCTCTTTATCTGACCTTCAATTCTGAATGATAGCTTTGCTGGATAAAGTAATCTTGGTTGTAGGTTCTTGGTATTCATCACATTGAATATTTCTTGCCACTCCCTTCTAGCCTGCAAAGTTTCTGTTGAGAAATCAGCTGACAGTCATATGGGTACACCCTTGTAGGTAACTGACTGTCTTTCTCTTGCTGCTTTTAAGATTCTCTCTTTGTCTTTTGCTCTTGGCATTTTAATTATGATGTGTCTTGGTGTGGTCCTCTTTGGATTCCTTTTGTTTGGGGTTCTCTGCCCATCCTGGACTTGTAAGTCTATTTCTTTCACCAGGTAGGGGAAGTTTTCTGTCATTATTTCTTCAAATAGGTTTTTAATATCTTGCTCTCTCTCTTCTTCTGGCACCCCCATAATTTGGATATTGGTACGCTTGAAGTTGTCCCAGAGGCTCCTTACACTATCTTCATATTTTTGGATTCTTTTTTCTTTTTGTTTTTCTGGTTGGGTGTTTTTTGCTTCTTCATATTTCAAATCTTTGACTTGATTCTTGCGATCCTCTAGTCTGCTGTTGGAACTCTGCATAATATCCTTTATTTCAGTCAGTGTATGCTTAATTTTTAGTTGGTCCTTTTTCATAACCTCGAGGGTCTCACTAGATTTCTTGAGGGTCTCACTACATTTATCGGCGGTTTCACCAGTCTTTTTGAGGGTCTTACTAAATTTATCGGCGGTTTCTAGAAAGTTCTTGAAAAACCTTATAACCGTGGTTTTGAACTCTATATCCAGTCGTTTGCTTTCCTCCATTTCTGTCATTTGTGACCTGTTTCTTTGTCTCTGCATTTTTTATGCTTCCCTGTGTTGGTAGAGTGGCTTTGTGTGCTAGGTGTCCTGTAGGGCCCAGTGTCTCAGCCTCCCCAGTTACCTGAGGTGGACATTCTCGGTGCACCCCTTTGTGGGCTTTGTGCACAGCCTTGTTGTAGTTAAGCCTTGATTGTTGTTGGTATCACCGGGAGGAATTGACCTCCAGGCCAGTTGGCTGTGAGAATCAGCTGTGTCTGCAGTGGGAGAACTTCTATGCTGGAGACACCCTTCTGGGGCAAGACTTGCTTCAGTGGGGCTTTGGTGCTCACTGAGTCTGCCCCCTGAGTGTGTCCCTTATGGATCTGAGGAGTTGTAATCTGGATGGTCCCACTCTGACCACTGGGTACACTGGCTCTTGGATTTCTAAGGAGGTGCTAATTTAGCCTCTGCTTGAGGCTACCTAGCAGGAACTATGGAGAGATTCCTCTTCTTTGTTTGGGGTTTGGAGGTGCCCAGATGAGGCCCAGCTGTGAAGCAATGCAAGCTGCTGTGGGGCCTTGGGCCTTCTTTTTGAATGTTCTGGGTCTCTCTGACCCAGCTGCAGTTTGTTAGATAATTTTAGATTGCAAAGGGCCCGGTCATTCATATGCAAAAGCCTCTGCACACAGCTTGGGTGGGGCGGGGTCTCAGGGAATCAACAGGGTGGAGCAAACAGCTATGGCTGATCTTCAGCCCTGCCCTAAGAGGTCCGGAGTCTCAGTGTCCTGCGGTAATTGCTGCAAGCACCTCTGAGAGAAAGCCGCACTCGAGTTCCAAGTTCTGCCCACTGCCAGACAGTCCAGTTTCTCCCCGTATGAGTCTGGGTCCCCAGAGACTCGCCCAGAACTGGAGTTCAGAGCAGTCAGGGGCTTGTGACTCCCTCCCGATCAAAAAAACAGCCGCGTCCTCAGTTGCCATCCCTTGCCGCGTGCACCTCCATACCTCTGCACTTCTGCATCTCCTCTGAGTCTCAGTGTGCTTTTCTCTTTCCTTCTAGTTGTAGAGTTTCCACTCAGCCAGCCTTCCTGTGGTTCTGGATGATGTCCATTTTGTCTTTTAGTTGTATTTTTGAAGTGGTTGTGTGAGGCAGCAATTTCCGGTGTTTACCTATGCCGCCATCTTGGTTTCTCCCCCTATTCTTTTTTTTCCTCCAGCTGCTTTTAAGATTTTCTATTTGTAAATAGTTTCATGAAATTGGGTTTTGTTGTCCCCTCGTATAATTTTCTTTGTGTTCTTGGGCTTAGGATTGATTGAACTTCCTGGTTCTATGATTTTATAACTTTTATCAGATTTGGAAATATTTCAACTATTTTTTCTTCAACTATTTCTTCTGACATCCCCCTCTCCTCATTACAGCAGGGACTCCAATTACATTTATCCACTCGAAGAAGTTCTAACCACAGCTTATTGATTGATGCACTGCACATTTTTTTTGTGTAGTCTTTTTTCTGTGTGTCACCGAGTAAATCTTATTGCTATATTTTCAAGAGCCAACCTCTTCTGTGTACTTTATATTTTGTCTTCTGTATTGCAAGGTTTTTCCACTGTAGTTGGAACAGACGTTTTTTTTTAAGGTTATTGTTTCTAAACAGATATTTCAGTATTAAGGTGTTTTGTTTTGTTTTTCTCTTTTCTTTAAAAATATGGCTCCATGGCCCTGGTTGGTTCAGTTGGTTAGAGCATTGTCCCGATAAACCAATTTTGTGGGTTTGATCCCCAGTCAGGGCACATACAAGAGTCAACCGATGGCCCTAACCAGTTTGGCTCAGTGGATAGAACATTGGCCATGGACTGGAGAGTCCTGGGTTTGATTCCGGTCAAGGACACACACTTTGGTTGTAGGCTTGATTCCTGGCCCTGGTTGTTCGTGTGTGGGAGGCGAACAATTGATGTCTCTCTCACATAGATGTGTCTCTCTTGGTGTCTCTCCCCCTCCCTTCCACTCCGCCCCCAAAAAAGGAATGGAAAAAATATTCTCAGGTAGAGGATTAACCAAAAAAAAGAAGAAGAAAAAGAATCAACCAATGAATACATAAATAAGTGAAACAACAGATCAATGTTTCTCTCTCTCTCTGTATCTCAAAAAATTTTTTTAATGTTGTTCTATTATCTTCTGGCTTCGGAACAACAAAATGAGCCCCATTCTTATCTTTATTGCAGTGTTTATAAATTTCCCTCTGGCTACTTTGAAGATTTTATCTTTATCACTGGTTTTAGGCAGTTTGATGATAATGTTTGGTGGGATGGTTTTCTTTGTGTTTATTCTCTCTAGAATTCATTAGGCTTTTTAAATCTGACTTTATAGTATTCATCATATTTGAGTAATTTTCATCATATGTCTTCAGTTGTTTTTGCTGCCTGCTCTACCTCTTCCCATGCCCTCCACCCACTACCTTTTCAGATACTGGTACTTGATAAATATACCTATGTTAAATTGTTTGTGACTCACAGGCCATTGCTTTCCTGCCCCTCTCTTTCCCTCCCCCATCTTTTTTCTTTGCTTTAGATTGAATAGTTCCTATTGCTATGTTTGTACGTTCATGATCTTCTGTAATGTTTACTCAACTGTTACCTAATCCAGTGAATTTTTCATTTCAGATATTTTTCAGCTCTAGAAGTTCAATTTGGTTCTTTTTATATCTTACATTTTCATTTCTCACTTTTCCTGTAGTTTAAAGTCTTTGTTTCAACTTCTTTTTTATTGACTTTTTTCTTGTGTATATATTTACTTGCTACTTTTCACGCTAGTAATTTTTTATTGGATGAGTGACAGTTTGAATTCTGAGTGTTTAAATTTTGTCTCCCTTTAAAGAAGGCAGACAGTTTTTTTCTTTTTCTTTTTGTAGGGAGTTATCATCAATACAGTTTCTTGTGCTTCAGCATCTCTCCCTCTTCTTCAGCTCTGATAGATTTAAGCTGCCTTAACTTTAGAAATTTCTGTCTCTGTCACCTCAGATCAGTGAGACTACCTTGCTCTGTGTCCCCTCCTGGCCTGGCAAAGGCTGGAACTCACTCGGTCAGTTCTCTTCTTTCACAAAGCACAGTCCTATGATGTTTTGAAAACAGTATTGTATATACTATTCAGTTTTCTGGTTGTTTAAGACTGAAAGATCAGATTTTGTAGTTAATTCATCTTGGATGGAAGTGAAAGTTCTTGTTATACACAATTTTGATGTTTTTAAAATGTGAAAGTAAGCATATCTGCATTTTTTAGATTGTAACGTTTTGAGGGCAGAGATTTCCTTCTCATTAACTGCCAGATCCTTAGCACTTAAAATAGTACCTGGAATATCATAGGCATTCAGTAAATAAAGTATAGTTGGCATACAATATTATGGAAGATTCTCTTTTTAAATCTATGTAAATTATAAAAGAAAAAGGTGCATTTTTTTTTTTTTCAGTGGAGGTTAATCACCCTCTTAATTAGAAATACTAGGAAATTTTCTTTGAAATGACAAGTTATTTCCTTATACCAGGTCTCTGAAAAATGGGAGTTAAACTTGACAACGTTGATTTAACTTAATATGATTTAAAATATTACTGATATTTTTTATTATGCAGTTTGGGTGATGGTTGCAGTTTTCCAACTCGCCTTGTGGGAATGGATCCAGAACAAGCTTCTGTTACAAACCAAAATGAATATGCCAGAAGGTGTGCTTCTTGTCATTATGTTTTTCAGTATTCATTGTAAAACAAAATATATATATGTGTGTGTGATACAAACATGTCTTTTAAATACAGTAGTAATTTAGTAAGCCAGCATACATAGCAAAAGAGAACATCTAAATAATTTTTAATATATTTTTAAATATTTTTTTAATCCTGAACTTATTATTGATTTTAGAGAGAGAAGAAAGGAAAGTGAGAGAGAGAGAAAAACTGTGTGAAAGAGAAACATTGATTGGTTGCCTGCTGTGCACACCCCAACAGGGAATCGAACCCAAAACCTGAGTATGGGCCCTGACTGGAAATCAAACCCATGACCATTCGATGTACGGGATGACACCACAACCAACTGAGCCACACTGACCAGGGCTAACTTTTAACTTAGGGTTAATAATATATATCTCCTCACATATTATATTGTTTTATAATGTATATGCTTAGGATAACCATACTTTTTATCATCCAAACCAGAATACTTTTCAAAGTAAGAAAGGGAATGCTTGCTCTTACTAGTTGAACCAGAATAATCACATAAAACTGGAAATGTCTGGGCAAACTAGGAAGCAAGGCTGCCCCTAAATGTGCTGCATTTTCCTAGAAACTAATACATTCTTTTGAGATTTGATTAAATTGGTGTATGTAAGTTTTTTTCTACAAAGAAATTAGTCATTTCTCTATTCACCATTTTATTTTTATAAACGGATTTTAACTGTAGTGTGGAAATGAGATTGAGAATTCAAAAAATACAAATATAAAATTTCATTCATTCATTTAGAGGATATTTTCTCAGTATTTGTATGGCAAGCAAACTGATCCATACATTCAAAGTAATTCATTTGAAAATGCAATTTCAAAGAAGATAAAGATACTTCTGGTCCTTACCAGGTAGCTCAGTTTAGAGCGTCATCATGGTAGCCAAGGTTGTGGGTTTGATCTCTGGTCTGGGCACATACAAGAAGCAACCAATGAATGCGTAAATAAGTGAAACAAATCGATATTTCTCCTCTTTCCAAAATCAATTTTAAAAAGAGACAGAGGGATACTCTGTCAAAGCGAAATAGTTGGAACTTACTACAGAAATTAATTGTGGGGAGAAGAGATTATTAATTACAAGTTTGCATATAATATCAAAAGCATGTAGGCCTTAGAACTTTAGGCCTTAGCTAAGACCTTAGACTTCCAACATTTATTATGGGTCTAAACAAATCACTTAAACTGTCAGAGCCTCAGTTTCCAGCTATATACCTACCTCCAGTTTTTGCAAAGGTTGAAATAATGTATATACAGCACCTAGCACAGGTATCTGGCCCATAATAGGTATACAACATGTTAGTTCCCTTTTCCTTCTTCTTTCATTCTCCGTTCCCTCTCTTCCTAATCTGTTAGCTAGAAAAATAAGTCTACACTAAATCACTTAATCATTTTTTCCCCTTAGATCTAAACTGCAGAGATAGAAAGCAGAAAACTTGAAAGATGACAGGTAATTTTTTTGTACTGGCCACACAGACCTATCCTAATGCTACCTTATGGCTCTTGATTAACATATGTTAAAAATGTTTCAGGCTGGCCTCTGAAGCTTTTTTCTTTTGCCTAATTGTTTTCATTGGCAGTTGGAGTACAGATTCTTGGATCTAGAGAATCATTTAATGAGGGTGTGGGCATATTTTTCTTTTGAAGATTGAGTTGTTTTTTTCAGAGTGCTGAGATCTTATGATTTGGCCTCATGTTTAGGAGAAGGAATACTAATTTTCTGCTTATTAATTATTATTTTTTTAATTTTTATTGATTTCAGAGAGGAAGGAAGAGGGAGAGAGAGAAATGTCAATGATGAGAAAGAATCATTGATCAGCTGCCTCTTGTATGCCCCCTCGCCCCCCACCGGAGAACGAGTCCTCAACTTGGGTACATGCTCTGACCAGGAATTGAACTGTGACCTCCTGGTTCATAGGTCGATGCACAGCCACTCAGTCACACTAGCCAGGCTAATTTAGTGTTCTTAATTGAGCATTAAACTATTTACTAAATTGTTTGCTCTTCTTTTCAGTATTGGCTCAAATCAACCCTTTCCTATCAAACCACTTAGTGAATCAAAAAACCGATTGCTGGACAGTGAATCTCAATGGACAGAGAATGGATCTGAAGAAGGTACTGTCAGATCAGGTAATACTTGTCATCTGAAAACATCACTTCATCTGGTTAAAATAAATTCACCAGGTTGAATTACTGTATAAAAGTTGTAAAAACTAAAATATGTGAAACTTTTAAATAAAACATCACACACACACACACACACACACACACACACACACACACACCGGGTGTTAGTGTTTATTGGTAGATTTTATGGAGAAGGGGGTTCAGTGAGGAAGTGTAGTGGCTGCTACTGTGTCTTGTTCTGTTCACAGATAGGTTGTTGTTGGTTTTTTGTTACCCAGACATGTATTTCTTTAACTCAGGCATCGAAAGTTCATTTGGCATAATTCTGAATAAATCTTAAACAAGGTGAGTTTTGGTCAAGATGGCAGCATAGGTAAATGTGGTACTCAGAATCTCTCACAGCCACATCAAAATTACAATTAAAATACAAAACAACCATCATTCAGAGTGCCTGAAATCTAGCTGAACAGAAGTCCTACAACTAGGGATATATTAGAAGAAGCCACATCAAGACTGGTAGGAAAGGTGGGGTTGTGGAATGGGCTGGCCCCATACTCACGGATGGCGGTTAAAAGTTGGAAGAGATATCTCAGCTGCAGAGGTCCCCCCTAAGGAGTGATGGTCCCAGTCCCACATCAGAACCCCCAGCCCAGAGTTCCAGTGCCAGGAGGAGCAGTCCCCATAACTTCTCTGTCTGTTAAAACCAGTGGGAATTGTGGCTTAGTGAGGCTGAGGGTTCCTGGTGTCCAGGTATTCCTCTTAAAGGACTTAGACTCACTTTCTCTGAGCCCCAGTGCTGGAGCAGCAACTCAAAAGATGCCATATGGGGACATACAGGGAGGGACTGAATTGTCTGACTGCAGGGTAAGTTTTGGAGGTGCAACTTTCTCCCAGATAGAAGTGCCAGCAAAGGTCATTGTTCCTTTTCTGAGCCCTCCCCCCTCAAAATCCCCAGGTGGACATCATATCTGAATCCCATCAACACTGGCTAACACTGTTGGCCTCACCCTGGTGATTTGCTGAGACTCCCCGACTCCACCTTCCCATTTGCAGGCCCATCCAATCCCTTTCCAGTGGCTTTTCTTTGGACATTTCTTTTCTATCCTGGCTTATGCTTTGGACATTTCTAAAATCTCTCAAACGAGCAGCATCTGGCCTCTGTTTACCTCATACTCCTTGTTAAGTAGCTGCAGGCCTGATACTAGTGGCAGATAGCCTTGGTTTGCAATTTGGCCTCTCCTCTAGACACCTCCAAGTAAGCACAACTAGCAGTCAACTACAGATTGTTCTGTAGCTCATGCTGGGTGGCCCTTGGCAGGGCACAGGCGGTGGCTGACCTTGCACCTCTTGGGAGGCCCCAGAACTAGTGCACTCAGTGGACAGCACCAGACCACCCCGGATTTCAACCCAACCACCTCTACAAGTGACACACTCAAGGGGTAGAGGTCACAGGCACCAAAGCCCCACTAAAGCAAGTCCTGCTCTATAGGATCGGCCCCTGCACAGCAGCTTCTCCACTGTAGTGAAAGCCTGTCCTCTCAGCTGGTCTTTGCAGCTGATCGGCCTGGGGGTCAGTCCCTACCAGTGATTTGCCAAAAACAATCAAGACTCAATTACATCAGGACAGTGCACAGAGTGCACTTGGAGTGCCCAGATCAAGTGACGGGAGGCTGCTCCACTGGGCCCTATAGGACACCTACTACATGAGGCCACTCTACCAAGTCCAGAGATATAGCAGCTCTACCAAAAACAGAAAGAAACACAGGGCAGCAGCCAAAATGAGGAGACAAAGAAACATGTCCCAAATGAAAGAACAGGACAAATCTCCAGAAAAATAACTAAATGAAATGAAGGCAGTCTACCAGATAGAGTTCAAAACAATGATTATAAGTGTGCTCAAGGAACTTAGCAAGAACTTCAGTAGCATGAAAAGGGACATGGAAATTATAAAAAAAGAACCAGTAAGAAATGAAGAATACAGTAATTGAAGTGAAGAAAAAGATTACAGGGAATCAATAGTAGAGTAGATGAAGCAGAGGATCAAATCAGCAATTTGGAAGATAAGGAAGCAGAAAATATGCATTTAGAATTGCAAAAAGGAAGAAGAACCCCAAAAGAAGATAGTGTAAGGACCCTCTGGGACAACTTCAAGCATACCAGCAGTTCATCATGTGGTGCCAGAAGGAGGAGAGAAAGCAAGGAATTAAAAATTTGTTTGAAAAAATAATGATGGAAAACTTTCCTAACCGGGTGAAGGAAATAGACATACAAGTCCAGGAAGCGCAGAGAGTCCCAAACAAGATAAACCCAAAGAGGCCCACACAAAGACATTATAATTAAAATGCCAAAGATTAAAGACAAAGAATTCTAAAAGCAGCCAGAGACAAGCTGCTAGTTATCTACAAGGGAATTCCCTTATTACTGTCATCTGATTTCTCAACAGAAACTTTGCAGGCCAGAAGAGACTGGCACAAAATATTCAAAGTGATGAAAAGCAAGGACCTACAACGAAAATTACTCGACCCAGCAAAGCTGTCATTTAGAATAGAACAGATAAAGAACTTCTCAGACAAGAACAATCTAAAGGAGTTCATTACCACCAAAGCAGTATTACAAGAAACATTAAAGGGTCTTCTTTAAGAAGAAGGAGGAAAAAAAACAAACAAACATCAAAAATATGAATAATAAAATGGCAGTAAATACATATCTGTCGACAATTACTTTAAAATGCAAATGAGCCCTAGCCAGTTTGGTTCAGTGGCTAGAGTGTTGGCCTGTGGGCTCAAGGGTCCTGGGTTCAATTCTGGTCAAGGGAACATGCCTGGGTTGTGGGCTTGATCCCCAGGAGGGGGTGTGCAGGAGGTAGCCAATCAATGATTCTCTCTCATCACTGATGTTTCTATCTCTCCCTCTCCCTTCCTCTCTGAAATCAATAAAAATATATTTTTTAAAATGCAAATGCCACCCGCCCGAGTGGCTCAGTGGTTGAACATTGACCTATGAACCAGAAGGTCATGGTTCAATTCTCAGTCAAGGCACATGCCCAGTTTGTAGGCTCAATACCTGGTAAGGGGTGGGGAGCGGGGGGGCAGGAGGCAGCAGATCAATGATTCTCTCTCTGATCTTTTTTTTTTTTTTTTAATATATTTTTTATTGATTAAGATATTACATATGTGTCCTTGTCCCCACGTTACCCTCTACCCCCCACCCCCCCCCACCCCCGCTCATGCCCTCACCCCCCCCCCCCGTTGTCCATGTCCATTGGTTAGGCCTATATGCTTGCATATAAGTCCTTTGGTTGATCTTTCCCCCTTACCCCCACCCTCCCCTACCTTCCCTCCAAGTCCCGACAGTCCAATCAATGCCTCTCCGTCTCTGGATCAGTCCTTGTTCATCAGCTTATGTTGTTCATTATATTCCACAAATGAGTGAGATCCTGTGGTATTTATCCGCTCTCAAGTTCCATCCATGCTGTGGCAAATGGTAAGAGTTCCTTTTTCTTCTTCCTCTTCTTAAAGAATACCTTTCAGCATTTCATATAATGCTGGTTTGGTGGTGATGAACTCCTTTAGCTTTTTCTTATCTGTGAAGCTCTTTATCTGACCTTCTATTCTGAATGATAGCTTTGCTGGATAAAGTAATCTTGGTTGCAGGTTCTTGCTATTCATCACTTTGAATATTTCTTGCCAGTCTCTTCTGGCCTGCATGGTTTCTGTTGAGAAATCAGCTGACAGTCGTATGGGTACTCCCTTGTAGGTAACTGACTGTCTTTCTCTTGCTGTTTTTAAGATTCTCTCTTTGTCTTTTGCTCTTGGCATTTTAATTATGATGTGTCTTGGTGTGGTCCTCCTTGGATTCCTTTTGTTTGGGGTTCTCTGCGCTTCCTGGACTTGTAAGTCCATTTCTTTCACCAGGTAGGGGAAGTTTTCTGTCATTATTTCTTCAAAAAGGTTTTCAATATCTTGCCCTCTCTCTCCTTCTGGTACCCCTATAATTCTGATGTTGGTACGCTTGAAGTTGTCCCAGAGGTTCCTTACACTATCTTCATATTTTTGGAATCTCTTTTCTTTTTTCTTTTTCGGTTGGGTATTTTTTGTTTCTTTGTATTTCAAATCTTTGACTTGATTCTTGGGATCCTCTTGTCTGCTGCTGGATCTCTGTAAATTATTCTTTATTTCAGTCAGTGTATGCTTAATTTCTAGTTGGTCCTTTTTCATGTCCTCCATGGTCTCCCTATACTTATTGAGGGATTCATTAAATTTATCGGCGGTTTCCATAAAATTCTTGAAAAACCTTATAACCGTGGCCTTAAACTCTATATCCAATCGTTTGCTTTCCTCCATTTCTGCCATTTGTGACCTGTTTCTTTGTCTCCGCATTTTGGCAGCTTCCCTTTGTTGATAGAGTGGCCCTGTGCGCCAGGTGTCCTGTAGGGCCCAGTAGCTCAGCCTCCCCAGTTACCTGGGGTGGACACTCTTGGTGCACTCTTGGTGCCTTGGTTGTTGTAGAATCACTGGGAGGAATTGACCTCCAGGCCAATTGGCTGTGAGAATCAGCTGTGTCTAAAGTGGGAGAACTTCTGTGCTGAAGACACCCTTCTGGGGCAAGACTTGCTTCAGTGGGGCTTTGGTGCTCACTGAGTCTGCTCCCTGAGTGCGTCCCTTATGGATCTGAGGAGTTGCAGTCTGGATGGACCCCCTCTGACCACTGGGTACAGTGGCTCCTGGATCTAAGGAGGTGCTAATTCAGCCTCTGCCTGAGGCCACACAGCAGGAGCCACGAAGAGGCTCAGCTGTGAAGCAATGCAAGCCGCTGCGGGGCCTTGGGCCTTCTCTTGGAAGTTCCGGGTCTGCCTGGCTTGGCTGCAGTTAGGTACATTCACATGCAAAAGCCTCTGCCTCAGCCTGGGTGGGGCGGGGTCTCAGGGAATCCAAGGGCGGATCAAGGAGCTATGGCTGATTCTCCGCCCCGAGTCGCGGGTCTCAGTGACCCGCTAATTGCTGCAAGCACCTCTGAGGGAAAGCCGCCTTCAAGTTCGCCCGCTGCCGGACAGACCAGCTTCTCCCCGTATGAGTCCTGGGTCCCCAGAGACTTCCCGGAATCGGAGTTCAGAGCAGTCGGGAGCTTGTGATTCAAAAAGACAGCCGCGTCCTCAGGTGCCACCCCCTTTCCTCGCGCGCGTGAGCCGCCGTACCTCTGCACTTCACCTCCGCAGCGCCTCTGGCTCTCAGCATGCTTTTCTTTCCTTCTAGTTGTAGAATTTACACTCAGCCAGCCTTTCTGTTGTTCTGGATGATGTTTGCTCAGTCCTTTGCGGTAATTTTCAATTGTTGTGTGAGGCGATAATTTCCCAGTGTTTACCTATGCCGCCATCTTAGTTGCTCCTCCTCTCTCTCTGATCTTTGATGTTTCTTATTTCTCTCACTTCCTCTCTAAAATCAATAAATAAATGTATTTTAAAAATACAACGGGTTAAATGCTCCAATCAAAAGATATTCAGTAACTGAAATGGATAATAAAATAAGACCCTTACTTATGCTGTCTGCAAGAGACTCCCTTCAGATCATAAGGCACACACAGTCTGAAAGTAAAGGTATGAAAAAAGATATTTCATGACAATGGAAACAAAACAAAATAAAGAAGCTGTGGGCCCTAGCCGGTTTTGCTCAGTGGATAGAGTGTTGGCCTGCGGACTGAAAGGTCCCAGGTTCGATTCTTGTCAGGGTCACATGCCCGGGTTGCAGGCTTGATCCCCAGTAGAGGGCGTGCAGGGGGCAGCTGATCAATGATTCTCTCTGATCATTGATCTTTCTCTCCCTCTCCCTTCCTTTCTGAAGTCAATAAAAACATATTTAAAAATAAATAAATAATTTAAAAAGCATAAAACTAGACTTTCAGCTCTTAGCACTGCTTCTGGGTTCTACAAGAAGACAAATGGTTGGCACCATATACCTATTTAGTGCTTATATAAGAGTGGCTTTCACTTTAATCATCAATTTTGCTTTTTAGCCAGCAACTCAATTCATTTTTTATTGGATCATATATAATTATGTGCTTACAGGGATAAATAACCTTGTTACAATGACAATAGACAAAAAATGTGACTTGCCTACTATTGAAGAAATTCGATCCAGAGAAGAGTGACTAACACTAAAGTCTGAAAAATGTTGTTTATTTTGTAAAAGAGCAGCTTACTCTATAGGCAAGTACATGGATAAGCTATTCTTTACTGTGTGTCCAGAGACAGGAGCCATAGAAGACCGTCCTGGTGGATCTGTAGCCTGAGCAGTGAGGATAATTGCTAACCTTAAGTTGAACTGCAGGGATGTAGTGAAGTCTCTCCTGATGCTAAAGTTAAGGATGCAGCTGTCTGCAGTCATTCAGTAGCTGAGCTCCGTGCTTAGTAGCATCTTGTGAAGGTGTTCAATTTTTAACAAACTTAGTTACCTACTGCCTGTAATGAATGCCCACAAACCTAGCAGCTTCAGACAACACACATTCATTACCATAGTTCCTGTTGTCATGAGCTCATTTTTTTTTTAAAAGGGTTGTCATCTGCAGTCTTAAGGAAGCCTTTGCTTCCTTGCAGGCATTTGTCGTGAGCATTCAGTTCCGTACCAAGGACCTAGAGCCTGAGACCCAGACAGAATCAGAACACGGGCACTCTGGCCAGGCTCATGTCAGGTGGAGCAGGCTGGACTCGGAAGATGAACAGCAGGAGCACCTGCCAGTGCCACTGAGAACTGTGGTACAGCAGTTGGGCCTCAGTCCTGGCTTTATTTCTTCTTAATATAGGCAGAATAGTGGCTGCTGCCTGTGATGGTTGAGAATCCCCAGCTAAAGTTCCTAGAACTGTTGCTGTGAGTCTTCCCTACATCCTTTCAACAGCCTTAGAAAGGTGTGGATAAGATGACTCTTCAGATTATGTCCAAGTTAACAGTAAGGGAGAACCCTGAGAATCTTTCTCTTTTAAAATGCTTTCTTGATCCTTCAGAGAAAGAAAGTCAGTGATATCCCTTATTTACTGCTTACAAAAATCATTATTATTACAGTTTAGTAATATTAAAATATTTATTTCTTATCTTGTTATATTAGTAGCTGTATATCTTAGCCCAGAGAACCATTTAATAAATCTTGTTTTCAGAAATATAAAATCAAGTTTTAACCAATAACTCAATTGTTTCTGGTTTTATAGGTTTATAAAAACATGGACTGATATTTTCAGTATTATTTGCAAGAAAATTATCAATGGGATGAAATAATTGAAGTATAAAAGAAGATATATTTTTTCAAAAAAGGAAGCCTTTGTATAGATCCCTGGATCCACAGAAGCGCTACTGCAGAGCAGGAAGATGCCTTAATCTTAAGTCCAGCATTGACTTAAAGCTGCAAAAGTGACTTGATTTTACTTTGCAAATAACACTTATTGTTATGAAATGCTATAATATGTCGGATCACATGTTAACATGGCATATGTATTTTTTTTGATACCTGAGTTACATTATCAGAGTTGTTTCTTGGTGTCTGTATGAATTTTCACTCCAGAAACAGAAGCTAACAAATTCTCTTAAGTAAAGAACATCTAGGACAGTACGGTGGCTGAAACTGAATAATAATATCCAAATTACTGTTGCTTGTACTATGTAGGGAAAAGGAAATGACTGCTTTCTAAAAATTGGGTGTTTGATCATTTATAAATACTGTTTTATACTTTTCAACATTTTTAATAAAGATTTTTTATTGTTGGCTATACAATAACACTCAGAAGGATTAAGATATCTAAATATAATGATTTACAACATGGAGCACATTTGTATAATTCATTGAAGGTTTAGTTCTAAGCATTAATACAACAATGTTGTATAGTGTTGTGCCCAAGGCTTAAAGGAAACTTGGCATTATAAAAAATACTTTTGTTTCTCTCTGATTTATAATTACTTTTAAAAAAAGTTTATTAGTATACATACAGGAGAACACAAAGGCCCTCAGAAATATTGGACAACGGCAGGCTCCACAACCGAGGCTCTGACCAGGAATCAAACCGTGACCTCCTGGTTCATAGGTTGACACTCAACCACTGAGCCACACCAGTCAGGCAACCTGAGTAGTCATTTAAAACTTCCAGTCTCTGAAAGATGGATTCCATTCATAAATCCAAAATACTAAATCTGACTGAACAGCAACATCTTTCTACCTAGACACACACCCTCTTTTCCTTTTGAAATCCAGTCTAAGGGGCAAGAAATGTTGCATCTATACAATATATATAAAACCCTAAGTGACCAGTTGCTATGACTCACACTGACCACGAGGGGGCAGACATTCAATGCAGGAGCTGCCCCCTGGTGGTCAGTGTGCTCTCACAGTGGGAGTGCCGCTCAGCTGACTGACAGGCATCAGACGCCAGGCTCACAGCAGGTGCAGTGGGGCCAGGATGAGTGGGAGCAGCGTGATCCCTGGCCCAGGTCAGGCTCCTCCCCGGCCGCTTTGCGCACTACTACATCCCTCAGGGGATGTCAGACTGCCGGGTTCAGTCCAAAACCAGCAGTCCGACATCCCCCGAGGGGTCCCAGATTGCCAGCTGGGCACAGGCCATGTTGAGGGACCCCTCCGCCTCTAGTTAATTATAAATAAAAATTCAATATCTTACAAAGGAGAAACAATGTAAAAATGTCAATCCTTATTTATACTAGTCAGTCAAATATACACACACAAACCAAAATAATTGATTGCTTCCAGTAGTGGATAGAGATAAATGTTCTTTAAAAATATATTTTTATTGATTTTAGAGGGAGAAAGAGATAGAAACATCAGTGATGAGAGAGAATTATTGATTGGCTGCCTCCTGCACCCCACACTGGGGATGGAGCCCACAACCCAGGCATGTGCCCTGACCGAGAATCAAACTGTGACCTCCTAGTTCATAGGTTGACGTTCAATCACTGAGCCATGCCATCAGAGCTAAATGTTAACCAGAATCTATAATTATCTAGGAATATAGTTTTCTTATCTGTAACATAGGATTGAGAGGACGGGGTGATACCAATGACTTGGACTGGATGACCTCTAACATTCTTTGATTTCTGATTTTGCAAAATCACCTTACTTTTCATTCATCCAACAAATACTTCCGGAGTACCTTCTATACATCAAACAGTATACTAGGGATAGCTATATACTTTCTTAATGTCATATACATTTTACTTTTTTTCCACATAAGTTTTATAATAAACTATTCCAGGTTTACAATTTATAGGATTTGCCTAATTCCATTGACTAAATAGTAATATTGGATTTTAAAAGGAAGTTTCCCCTTTGAACTGAAGGAATATGATAGCTTAAAAAATATAATATGGGCCTCCTGGTGCTTACCACAGGCTGTGTTCTTACACTGACTGTACAGAAATAGGAGGCAGAGTAAACTTGCCCCATATACACCTCGGCTCAGGCTCTTTGCCTGGTCTGTATTGTGAATGGGGAGACATTGAAAAAATATATATATAATATGGATTCTTCCACCTTTATTTCACCTCTGTAGTCTTGATAATCTTTATTCTAAAAAACTTTTAAGTATGAGAGTTAAATGAGTGATACCAGTTACCAACCAAAATCATCATTTTGGCAATTTCCATATGATAAATAAATAGTCAATGTTTTAAACTTAATACTTTCAGAAATGATCTGGCACTGCTCATGAGTATTTCTACATCTAGATCAGGATTGCATGCACCTGATTAACAAGTGAGGAAACAATTTACCCCCTTAGTGTATTCAGGCACTTTTGTAGTGGTGTAATCTTTTAAGTTCTGTTATTCAGTATCATCTTTAATAGTGTAGTAAACACCTTTTCAGAAATTTTCAATGAAAGCCTTTTAATTACCTTTGGTTTAATTAATGGCCAACATTTTACCACATGCTGAATAATATTTGGCTGAGTTTATTCATAAACATTCACTGCTCTTCAGTAAGGGCCTACTGGTGTAGTGTGGGAATCAGGAACCAGCTGCCTCTTTGGTATTTCAACTGGTATTGGTTAGTGCTGTCACTCTTTGGGGAGAAAGGTCAAAATGAAGCCCTGTGAAAATTTATTAGTACTGTCTTTGGTCCTTCAAACACTTGAACAAATGTGATGACATTTAAGGATATTAAGTTGAATTTCAGGTATTGCCATTGCCATTAAAAAAAAAAAAGGTAGGCAGGAGACTTGATTTTACCTGGTACAAACTTACATTCAGTCCCTGAGATATCTGACCAGTATCACTTTGCCAAACCAAAGAGTAGCTGCAGCAGAGTAGTTATTAATCAGGGACACGTTTTCAGAGTTTAGTTTCATCTTTACATATGGCTGATTTTTTAAATATTTTTACATATTTAATGGTTCTGATTCAATGTGTCATAAGTTAATTTGACTAAGATTAGTTTAAATCATATAGGCAATGTTTATTTGAATTTTATTTCCAATAGAATACAGATTTTTACTTTGTTTACAGAGTGTTTAAATTCAAGATTATCAGACATGTCAGATTTCCATTCAGTAAACTTTAAAGCAGTAAATGTATATTAAGGGCTTGGTGTATATTAAGGCATTTGCATAGCTTATGTTTTGTTCTAGGAATAGCATTGTTATCAATGGAAAATACTTTTAATCTGTTACTACGAAATTAAGTATATTTTTGCATTTCAGCCAAAATAAAGACCAGATGTAATAATATGTAAGATACAGGTAATAATAAGTCAACAGGGGTTTCATATACCTAGAACTATGTTTTACAATTTAAATTTAAAATGCAATATAGATTCAGAAAGGTCCATATTTTTCTAACAAGTTCACTTTGTATTATTTTGTTGGTTTACATAAGGAAGCAAGGATTTGTATTTATATTAAAAGCTTGAGAAAGCTATTAGTCAAGTTTATTATATTTGTACATGATTGCAGATGAGTGCATGCCCATTTAAAAGAAAAGATGGACACTATTTTAAAGTGATCTTTAATGTTTTTATTTAAACAGATTTGACATACAGTTTATTTTGGTTGTCTTTACTTACCGAGTCCCTCCCATAAGTCTTGTATTTGTTTTTCATAAATATAACCCTGGACCATGACTTAATGTTAATTTTTTGCTTTGTCTTTTGGATAGTCTAATTACATTAACATGAAGGCTGAACATTTTAAACTTTTTTCAAAAATCATAACTTACTTTATTATATAAAAATAAAGTTCTGTGTTAGAACAGTTTGTTGTTGTTATAAAGTGGTATTTGCCAAATGAAAGAATAACTATTATTTTGGTCATAAATCTGGTCAAATATTGTTTAGTTAGAGAAAGAAATTTGGCTAATAATTTGGAGTAACTACATCTAAGACATTTAATATTTGAATGTAACAATATTGTAGTTTACCTAAGCCAGAGGTATAGATTGCTTTATTCAAAAAGTTTTTAACTTAGTTTTTACTGAACATAATTTTCAATTCAGAAATAACTTTTGGATCATAAGTACTTGCGAAACACTAGAAGTTGCTGAATTGTGGTTTTCAAAATGCTGAATAATAAATTTTATTTTATGTAGAATTCTTTTGTGGCATATGTGTTCCAATTCCCCTCCAAAGGGACAGCTTAATAGTTGAGGCTGCTGAATGAAGCAACAAGGATCTGAGACAGAGCTGATTCCCATGAACTGGCAGAAGCTGTAACCGGACAACCAAGGGGTCTGGCCACTACTTGAGCCAATTAAGCAGAGATAGGGTTGAATTGTTAAAGAATTTACCAGGCGACTGAAAAATACGGAGTACCAGAGGCACAGGAAAAACCCATTTATTTTCAGATGTTTCTCATGTACTAGTACAGGACTCTGGGGAGGCTGTTTCTCTCCAAATCCTGAGCAAACCAATATGGAGAAAGCTTTCCGTTTATACCCTTTGGTTTCTTTGTCCCCCAAATATGGATCATACTTCTGGACCTTCCGCAGGCTTTGCAAAAAGCCCCATGTGCTGGGATGGGGGCAGTGAGACCACATCTCAAGTCCTGGCCTGGCGCCAGCACTGATAACTCCATCTGGGGGTTGTGTATTTTTCATGGTTTATGGCCTCTAAAATGGGAATGGTACTTTAGGTAAACAGGTCTTGCAGGACCAGATAAAGAAGGGGTAGTGACTAGACCAGTGATGGCGAACCTTTTGAGCTCAGCGTGTCAGCATTTTGAAAAACCCTAACTTAACTCTGGTGCCGTGTCACATATACAATTTTTTTGATATTTGCAACCATAGTAAAACACTTATATTTTTGATATTTATTTTATATATTTAAATGCCATTTAACAAAGAAAAATCAACCAAAAAAAAAAATGAGTTCGCATGTCACCTCTGACACACGTGTCAGGTTTGCCATCACTGGACTAGACTATAGGCTAACAAGAATGTGCATTAGGTTACTGGCACAGATTCAGATTGCTAGCCCCCCTAAAATGTCTCATTTTCCCCATCAGAATCATATATGAATGTTTATTCCATTAATGCTGGCAATATGGGAGAACAGGTCATCCACAAAAATCTGCTCTGCCTCTCCCCATAAGCCAGCTGCTTATATTGGGTAGAAGGACAAAGATTATGGGAGAAAGTAAGAATTATAGGCATAGGAAAGTAGGCACAGTATAATCATTACAGGTTACTAGTAATGTGGGCTGTGTGGAGGTTGCAGAGAGTGAGTGCCTTTGGGCACCTCTGAGATTACAGGCAATAGGGGCTGGGGATTGCGAAGGGCTAGATTGTTTC